TTCCTCTTCATGGACGCGTTTCCGATGACATCGACACAGCGTAAGGTAGGCGGGATTATGTGGTGTCCGTAGAGAAGTACAAAACGGCTCATTAGCTGGTATATAAATGGCACAGGTTCAATATTCTGAAACAACTACACATGATGGCCTTATGACAGAAGCCACTTTGATAATGGATGTAAATTAACATAATGGTAGTCATAAATTAGCATGTTGTAGTGTTCGTAGATATGTTAGTGTCCGAAGAGATTGTGTACCATTTAAGCAAAATACATACTATTTAGATATAATAACATTCTTGGGAACAATGAAGCAATTTTCAAAGAAATCTGTGCCCTTCTTTTAGTTCTGTAACGTCAGTTTATATTTGAAACAAATCATTTGAAAAACAACTGTTGTATTGTTGTTATGTGCCTTTTGAGCAAATTTTAAATCGCTGTCCAAAAAAAATTTAAAAAGCACTATGCATGGCATTACTTGTACAAATGTATTACAATTTTCTGTACTGAAAGTGGGAAAATATGGAACTTGAAAAATTGGCAAATGTGTAACACCCTGGTACATTCTCATCTTGAAATAGCCTACTATCAATTATCTTTTTTTTATCTCGGCCGCCTGAGCGGCCGAGGTATTGTGCTCCAAAATATGTACGTTGGATGGATCTTTAAATCTTGATTTCGACCGTGAAAAAAAACCCAATGAAACCAATTACTCTGCGTGTATACTTTACTTTGTGGGGTCGAGCTACCGGATGATAGTGTCGTTATTCTTATACAACGAAGTTGCTAAAAAAGAGGAAATGCTGTTTACCACAAAACCATTGTTTTATATCATAGTATGCATTTAAGGTTCTAGAATTTCGCTAATAGCTGCGGTAATTGGACCAATAAATCAATGACATAAATTATGTACATTAACCTTCCATATTTGCTTAAGTCGCAAGATGTCGCTTTTGATTGGTGAATAAATCACTGTGACGCACGTAAATATTCACTTGAAATGAGAAATTACCGCCCAACAAAACGGACCATTAGATTCCCAGTGCTGTATTACTCTTTTGTTCTTGTGGTCAACTTGTTTTCTTTGCTTGAATCGCGTAAAAGACCAAGGAAAATACAATGAAATCGGCAAATTATCGCCGAGCCGCGCCGATCTGCCGCCGCCATCTTGGATTTTTTTGGAAAGCTGCAATTTGGCCCAAACCGCTAGAGGGGGCGAATTAAAATGTTTAATATATTCGGTCTGAAGTTTTAGTAGCTCTAGCAGTAGAGGAGAAGTTTGATAATGCATAGAACGGATAAAATAGAATAAAATTAAATGAAATAAAATAAAACAAGAATAAAAAATAAAATAGAAAAATAAAATAAAAAATAAAATAAAAAATAAAAAAATAAAAATAAAAATAAGAAAATTAATTAGTAAG